ATATATATACACACATATATACTTACTAGTCTGAAATAAACATGCTTTTAAATACTTATATAAAATAGTGGTAATGTATAACATAGGATACCTTCCATAACAACAGTTTGATGTCATAAAAAGTTTGATTTTTCTGTAAAAATGAGTCCAAAGTAAAAAGCAGTTGTAACAAGTTCTTCAGTAGCTAGCAAAAAGAGTAAGAAGAGTTCAGAAAATGAGAAAAATATTTATCTTTCTATGAAATTAACATCTTCAATAATCATATTCCTTTCAATTTTTTTGTGGGTTCCACCAATGACTTCATCCCCCTCTATAATTGCAGGTAAATTTTAATAGCTAACACATAAATTAGATTACAGGAATTTGGGGATATTAAATATTTTGTATTTACTTGCAATAGTTAAATTATTTTTCCGTAAACCATTCTTTGTCAGTCACTGGAGTAATAAATTAGAAAAAGGAAATTGGCAAACGTGATTCATTTAATTCCTATTTTTGAGTATTTGAGAACTATGCGTGGCAGAGCAGTCATGGAAGGAGACTAGGTAGCTTATAATATTATGCTCTTTTCATGTTTCTGTGAACTGACCTGAGTAGCATATGTTAGAATGAGATCATAAGGCACAATAAAAAGATATTTAATGAACGTATAGTATGTAAAACTGATGTGCATGTTTGTCTTGGCACGTATATATTGTTCCTTCATGTTGGAATATTAATGTTCTCTTTTCTGTAGACTACCCAGGAAGTCTGTAATAAATACAAAACATAGCTATCCACTGACTCATTGATAACTTTCTAATAAATACTTTATCTACCTATGTGTACTAGAAGCCGTTAATGTCTTGATGATGCACTTATGGTGCAATGCAGTGCTCCCCCCCCCTTTTTTTTTTTTTTTCAAACCAATGTCAATATATACAGGCATTGGTTTGTGTTCTAGTTTCTGAAAACCTTCAGTGCAGGTTTAAATAGCTTAACTTTTTTTTTGTTTAAAAATAATTTTAATAAAAAATGTTATAAAACAAGCACATACAAATAACAAATAACCTTCTTCAGTGGCCTTGTGCCACCTCTAGAGGATCTGTTAATGGTGCAACTGCGTAGATCTGATAACGATGTGGGTTTGGGTCCAGAACCATCAGCATTTTAGCTTGGCTTTGTCATGAAAAATAAATCTCGCTGTGGTTCTTTCTGTTTTTTGAATCTTTGGCTCAAATTTGACATAGGATAGAGGGCTCAAAGATAATTAAGTCCCATGAGTTTTATGAGAATCATTGCCTGGATAAAGAGGAGACCCTAGCAGTGACCTGAAATGAGAGGAAAAAGCTGCAGCGAGAGATCCCGTGTTGCGAGACCACTGGAGAGTTGCGTGGGAGACTCTCTGTCTAAATGCCCTACCGGTGGGAAAAGCCTCAGCTATGGCTTTCAGTCAACCATAAAACATAAATCCATAGGAAACCAAACTTCCTTAGTTTTTATTCTCAAGGAACTATTAATCAGTTGGTTATCAGAATATTCAGAATAGGTTTTAATACAGTGTTGAAACTGTTAGAAAAGTGGAGCATAAACTCTGGTACTTTTCCCACCAGTGGGAAAAGTTTTGTCCAAAAAAAAATCCTGAGATAGATTAGAGCTCTGTGCGTGGAAGAAGATTGTTTCACTTAGAATTGAGCTGATGCTCCTGGGACCTGGGCTTTTTCACTTAGAAATACCTGGCAGAGAGGGTGTTGTTAATGGAAGATTTCTCAGCGTGTCTCCTGTTTTGTTAACCTGACAAAGCCAGAATGGGTTGACATCTGACTTTCCTTAAATGTGGTTACTAGAGAGGGAAATCTTGAGCCAAAAATATTAGTTTGTTCACTCATGGCTAATTGTTGGGGAAACAGTTACTAGTCTGTATGTTGTGCATGTGCCCAATTTTAGAAAAATGAGACTTTTGGTTAAATTGCACTGGCAGGCCTGATTAATATTTTGAAAAGAAGTGTTTATAATTAGTTAAGCTTGCGACTTCTCTCTCAAAAGATTAGTCAAACCTCTTTTATTTTGGACATTATACAATTTCAGGAACATATTGTATGGCTCGCTGTGCTATAGATGAATTTTGACTTAACTATTGGATTTAAAGCCTTCAGCTTCACTTGGCACTTCCTGTTTCTCGTAATGGGTGAAATTGTGCAAATAACTCTTATCTTTTTGAGATATTTAAAAAAGTCGCCATCTATGTAAACATCTATTTTACTTGAGGTTTTTCACCACTAGATGAAAGATGGCTGGTGAGCAGTAACCTCTTTCAATTCTTGGAGGAGTGGTGTCGACAACTCAGGCCGAGTATGTTCTTGGTGTAATAAAATCTTAAGGAACTGCAGAAGCATATTTTCTAAGTTTGTCTTATTATCTGTTTCTTTAAATGTCTTTTGAGTTGCTATCAATTGTATGGATAGAGTAGACTTTAAATTGCTGGGCACATGGAAGTCTTTAGTAACTGTGGATTTTTATTAGGCCATACTAAGGACTTTATTTGAATGTTTTGTGGAGCAGACGGTGATGTGACAGTCTGTTTCCTATACATGCTTGAACTCCAGGTATCAGAAATACCTAAAATGTTTGGCCCTCTATTAGTATTTTACTACTGTTGACTGTTTACAGTGGGATTATTGGGTGAAAATCCCTTAAATAGAGCTCTGCTTTAGGAGTACCATTATGTCTTTGAATGGAGAGAAGTAATTTTTTTACCTTTATCATCTTTTAAAAAGAACAGCTAATAACAACCTGGAATCAGGCAAATTTTTTTCAGGTTAACAATATTGTTATTAGCACCCCCTTGCATCAAACTAGTATACTGAAACTTTCCTGGGAGCTTATATATACCTTTCCTGTGGTATGTGTCAATGTGCAGGGGATTGTTTTATGACTACCTGTAGTCATTAAAAGATGCCTCCTTTGTTTTATGGAGGACCAAAACTTGTTAGTTGAGTAGAGTTTTAGCTAGATTTTGCAGTACTGAATTCCCATGGAAAGCAGTTTCACTAAAAATCAACATCTTTATGAACGTAAAAAGTGGGAAAACATTAATTCTATTGATTTAGAATAATATGTAACTTTGACTCTGCTAGCATGCAGAACTATTCAGGGTGGTGCTTCTCTGCCCTGACCATGGAAATCTCTGTGGGAGTGCTCATGGGCTACCTCCACTTACTTTTATTTGGGCAGATACTGTAAAAGAAATTGGAGAATTAGTAGCCCTGCAGGATCAGTTTGATGGGGGGGGGGGAAGCATGACCCATTTTGTTTGGTTTTAGGTGATGTCTGTGGGATGCGATTATTGGATGCACTTTTCTGTCTTTGCATTTCCTGGTAGTAGTAAATGTTGGCAATCTCAAGAAAAAACATCCAAGGGATGCTGAGGAGTCTTCTGCAGCATTGATTCCAACCAAATACCTCTTTCCCTTCCCCTTTTTTTACTTTTTTGTACTAGCTGTGGGAGTTCATGCTTTCACTCCGTACCCAAGAATCCTTTTGTGTTATCAGTAAATATTTTAATGTTTCACAGGGGAATCTAATATTTCCTGCTTACTAAACCTGTGATAATAGATAAGCCATATGTAGTTGAACAGTGGTGCATTTTGTGAGGAGAAGTCTTCCGTGTGTACCTTGGCATCTTTATATGAAAGTTGTGCCCTTTGCCCTTTATTTATTTATTTTATTTACTCTATTCTCATACGAGCTTGTTTTCCCCTTGGTATTTTTAGTTGACAAATGCAAATGTTCCTCCCTTTTAATTTAAACCAAAAAGCCTAAAACAATTGTCAGCTTCTACAAATAAAACATATCTTTGGAGCCATCAAAACTCTGGCATCAGAAGTTAGTCTACTCCACCCAAATGTTTTTCAGGTAAAAACTTTTATTTAGTTTCCACGCAGGATAGCGGAAAAGCCTAGACTGCCTAGTGCACTATTTCTATGGTCAGGGAAGCTTTTGCTGGTCTGTAGAACTGCACATAAGACCCTGCTTGTGAAATACCACTCATTTTACTGGCACAATTGTTTGTGCCACCACATGGTGAGCTAGTTAGAAATGGTCCAGTTCCCTCACTAGGTAAACACAGAGTTGGCAAAACCATTGAGAGGAAAAAAAAAAAATGCATGTAAAATTATGGCCTGAGGAAACCACCACCATATCACTTTCGCTATAATCCACCTAAAGGTAAATTGCCAAAAGATGACACTTCTGGCTCAGCTTTCAGGAATTATTTTACATGACAATATAAATGATGTAGGAGCACAATTCGTTTATGTTCTTTCATTTTATTTTGAGCAGGATTTTCTGGAATACTGGACAAGTAAAGTAACTTTTTTTTTTTAAGTTGGAAATCACTAACTTAATTTTGTATTTCTGTTTTTCTTACAGTACTGTGTGCAAAAAACTTGGTGAAAAAGGATTTTTTCCGTAAGTAGCTGTTAAAGTTTTATACGTTTATAGATGGGATAAATATTATGCAGGTTCGTTCTGTACATCAGTGTTTGCACGTGATCATTGTATTAAGATATTTGCGTTAAGGGGGGGTGGGGGCTTTGATGTTTTCACATCGTTTTATTTCAGGGCTTCTAATTTTTTCTTTGGTGACACTCGTCACAGACTCATAATAATAATTAAAACACTGACACGCTCTCTCTGTTTTTGGTGGGAGTGGGGAACAAATTTACTCTCTCAGGCAAATTACATGTTTTTCAATTAGTGCCACGTATTTATTGAAATGTTTTTCATATAAGAGCTTTTTGTTCAGCAGACAGGTGTACATCTTAATTATTAATAATCATGTCATAATACTTACCTATGCTGAAATTATATTTTAATTAATTTTAATAATGTTTTGAAAGAAGTGCTAGGAAGTGGATGAAGGAGGCAGAAAGGAATGTTACTGGCTGGGGGGGGGTGGTGGGCGAG